TGATAATTTAAAGGAGGAAGTCATCTCAATCCAATATTGGAAATTTGCAAGATTTTAGAGGATCGTGGGTATAAAGTTAGCTATCAAATAAATAACCATTATTCACATCTCTTTACTTTTCGCTAATCCGATTTATCCTTTCAAAAAGATAACATTAGCAGCTCCTGGAAATTTTACAGCTAAATCTACCTTATACCATTCAATTCCGCAAATAATTACTGGAGAGCCTCCTTACACTTATTCATCACCAGAGTTTAAAGAAATATTTTTTAATAAATATACTTTTAAAAGTTTAGCCGATGGAAGAATGAAAACTAATAAGCGATATATTGAATACTTTAACAAGTATTTACAAGCTTATAAAGAAACTAAGGCCGACTTATTTTTTTGCGACTATGTAGCAAATGAAGCTTGCTTTGATCTAGCATGGAAATTAAAAAAGCCCGTCGTTGGGTTTGTTAGTAGTACAATGTGTACATATGATTTACTTTTTTGTGAGTTAGGCGGATATAAATATTAGTTACTTACTGGTTACTTGTTGTCCACCTTTTTATTTTCCTACCTTATTACAGTTTTTACTCCCCCGCCTCCCTTTAAATCAGATCCAATGATGGATTGTAGCGTGAGCATGGAGAATGAATCATTCTACAATCGATTTAAATGTGCAATAATACAGCCATTGCGACTTAGTTGGCATTTTCAAAAAAAATCTAGATTATATTAATTCTCAAAGGGCTGAAGTCGGTGTTGATAAACATAGTGACTTCAGAGGAAGAATAATCAATACTTTATTTTTAGTTGATAATTTCTTCGGATTTGAGGTGAATATTTTAAATTGCTTTGATAAAAGGTTTTCTTAATTTATTTCAATTGCCTTCATCGTAGGTTCCATCCGCTTGGCCTCCAATTCATCAAGACATTGGACCTGTTTTACCTGATACTTTTTTCAAATTTATCTTCTGATCTCGACTTGTTCATTTTCACACATCCTAGAATTATGTATATTGCTCTTGGGTCTCTTGTATATACTACTCCTAGAAATTATGCCACCCTTTTGCAATCTGCTCTTGAATTAATCAATCAGAATATTCTTGATGGAGTGATCTGGGCAACTGTAAGATTTAATGTATCGGAACTACCTTCTACATTTACACTCTCTACCGGTGAGGTTATACCCACTTCAAATATTTTAAATAATTTATACCCGCACATTCATGTTTCAAAATATGCCCCTCAGTTTGCAATACTTTCTCATGAGAATACTAAAGTGTTTTTAAGTCATGCTGGTATAGCTAGTAGTCATGAATCTATGTATACAGCTACTCCAATGTTAGTACTTCCAATAGCGCTTGATCATCCTGGAAATGCTGAAAGATTGGAGCTTACTGGTATGGCTTTAAAACTTTCAAAACTTGATCTGAAAGTTAATGATATAATATCAAAAATTATAAGATTAATGAACGAAAGAAGTTTTAAAATGAATGCAATGAGAATGCAAGTGTTGGCAAAATGTAATAGCAAAAGAAAATACAGAGGTGCAGATTTAATTGAGATAATGATGAATCTGGCAAAACTTGAAGGTATTAGGAATGAGAATAATGAACTGGAGGTAGACAATGAATTATTATTAAGACATTGGATCACTCCCGATTCAAGAATGGGTCTCATTAGAGGAAAGTATTTAGATGTTTTTGGTGCTGCTGTGATTATTAGTGTAGCATTGATTAGTGGTCTTGTGTATAGTTTTTATAGGACTATTAGGTTCATTGTCTTGAGATGGTCTCTTAGAAGTAGGAATCCACGAGAAAGTTCTTCGAAACATAAAAATGAATGAATGGATGAACATTAATTCGTATTTCTATATGATTTGTTTGAAAGGATTTTTTATATATTGACGAGTTGTTATAATAAACCTTTTATATACATAGTCACGTATAGTCACATTTCTTGGTACCGAACAAAATAGATATTCTTGTAAAAGCTATATTATATGCATATGAAGGAGTTTTTTTTAATTGTAAACTTGTTAAGAGTGGTCTACTATATTTAAATAACTTCAATATGTTACAAGAATCTCCACTAATCAAATTATTCGCACTGAATTTCTTTGTATAATAGTATTAGTTCTGTAGTTCTAACATCCAACTGGTTATGCTAATGAGATAGACTAAGCAGCGAAATTGATTGCTGAAATTAAGTTTACCAGTACCTCTAGTTATAAAACCAAAATTTAACTTTTAATCTACTAATCTGTTTTGGATAATTTAATTATCAAAATATTTGTTTTAAAAAAAAATAATTCTAACCAATTTAAAATTGTTAATATTAATTACAAAGCTTTAAAATTTGTTAAAATTTTTGTATTATTTTATATATATATATATATTTTTTTTTTTGATATTATCGGCAGCCTCGCCGGTATCTTTATTAGATCAAAGCATATATATATATACATATAATTAACTATCTAAGCTACAGATCTGACATCTCTCAGCTGCCCTGAGGGGTGCCCAAGAGCGGTCTGCCTCACTGGTTAAAGCTTTTGCCCGTACTGGAGGGCTATACCAAGCTAGCCATTGAAACCATACCAAAATGGTTTTGTTTTATTTACACAAAAGTTTTTAACTGAGACTAACCAAGATTTTTTCTTTTTGTTTTTTTCCTCCTCTTTAAGTTTTCCTATTCCTTTCTTTTTAACTTTTCCTTTGGTTTGATCTTGGTTTACGACAAAATCCTCTGTAGATTCTTGTGTTTGTCTTGTGCTAAGAATTAAGCCTTCCGATTTCAGCTTTTTCCCTCTCTTATGCTTCTTGTCAATTCCTTCTATCTTTTCCTATTCATTAACCTCTGTGCATCTTCACTTCTATATATTCTCATAAAAAAAATCCTATGCCAGATTTACTGCAGTTTTCAGGTAATTCTTTGCATCTTTTAGAGGTTTTATGATGCTAAG